CCAGCCTGGGCAACATAGTGATGCCTCATCTCTACAAAAATTTTTTTTTAAATGAACCACGTGTGGTGGCATGTATCTGTAGTTGCAGCTATTCAGGAGGCTGAAGCTGAAGGATTGCCTGAACCCAGAGGGTCAAGGCTACAGTGAGCCATAATCATGCCACTGCACTCCACTTTGAGTAACAGAGACCCCACTTTGGGTGACAGAGACCCCAACTCTAAAAGAAAAACATAAAATTATTTAAAAGGTTAAACAAACAAGTGAAAATACTAATATTATGGAAATTGCCTCATTATAAGCAATGGCCAAGTTACTAGAGCCTCTTATAAGAATCTTAAGTGGCCTGATTTTTACCTAATCATACTTTTCAGTTTCTTTTTGTTCGTTTGTTTTTTGAGTCAAAGTCTCACTGTCACCCAGACTGGAGTGGAGTGGCACACTCATAGCCACCGCAGCCTCAACCTGCTGGGCTCAGGTGATCCTTCTGCCTCTGCCTTCCAAGTAGCTGGAGTCACAGGTGTGCACCACCACACCTGGCTCCTTTTTGATTTATTGTGGAGACGAGATCTTGCCAAGGTGCCCAGGCTGGTCTCAAACCCCTGAGCTCAGGCAATCCTCTCGCCTCTGCCTCTCAAAGTGCTAGTATTACAGGCCTGAGCCACCGGGCCCAGCTTAGTTTTTATTTTCTCTTAAAGTTTTTGCCATCGTTGTCTGCCTCTTCCACTCCTGTTGATGCTGAGTCAGGCAGTGGCAGAGGTATAGTCTACCCTGAAGTTGAAAAACATCTGTCTCCTGCTTCCCTTTCCATCTGCTGGATCTTCTTTAATATCTTCCCTATAATTTAGGAAGACATCAACAAAACAATGACAAAACTAACATTTTAAAATACTTTAGCTGGGCGCAGTGGCTCATGCCTATAATTCCAGCACTTTGGGAGGCTGAGGTGAGAGAATTGCCTGAGCTCACAGGTTCGAGACCAGCCTGGGCACCTTGGTGAGATCTAATCTCTACAGTAAATCAAAAATATTAGCTGGGCATGGTAGTATGTATCTGTAGTTCTAGCTACTTGAAAGGTTGAGGTGGAAGGATCCCCTGAGCCCGGCAGGTCGAGGCTGTGGTAGTCGTGAACGTGCCACTGCACTCCAGCCTGGGCAACAGAGTAAGACTCCAACTCAAAAAAAATAAAAAATAAAAATAAAATAAAATACTTTGAACAGGTCAGCCCCCTTGGGTCCCCTCCCACTGTGGAAGCTTTTCTGTCCTCTCAATAAATCCTGCTTGCTCCAAAAAAAAAAATACTTTTAACAAATTTTCTAAGGATATTAATTATCATTAGGTTGTATGTATATAATGCTAAATAGTATAATTAATTTGCTGGTGGTAAATTAATTTACCAGAAACATTTGGTGTTAGGTAGCTGAATTTTTACCATTTTTCATTTAGATATTGTAGCATTTGCAGAAACTTAACCATCTTTATTATAATTGACTTTGCATTATAGATACATGAAGATATTTTTATTCTAGGTAGATTGGCCTTTTAAGTGATTAGGTAGTGAAGCTTGTCTTATAGTAAAATGAAGAGTAAATTATTTGTATAAACTGTCTAGAGAATGTCTAAAAATGATTATTTTATATTTTAAGTAAGCTAAATTTTATTGTTTTGAATGAAGGTACCCTGGTCTTATCTAATTAGTGATATGAAATAAATCTGATAACAACTGAATTGTTAGTGTTTGTTTCCTGTCTGCTTGGGGAAGCTCATGATTGAGTGGTTTTATAGAAGTCTGGAAAATAACAATAATAACTATTCCTAATTCTTTTTCTTCTAACTTTATAAAAAGTTTGGAAAGAATTGAGAAATAATTGCTATGACTTAACTTAAAATCTTGAGTAAAAGTCTTTGATCGTTTTTCTACAATTAGGGCAGAAAGCTAGCTTCTGTACTTGTTCCCCTAACCACTCCAGGCCCATTTCATACCCAGGAAAACTAGGCCATTGAGAGTCATGTGAGCATCTTGGGCTTCATTGGCTGAATATCCATGCCTATAAGTGTATCTTCAGACTTAGTGAATGCACTTCATATGTTCATATAATAAATTGCCTAGAATGGCTATGGAATAAGGTCATGCTGGTGAGTACTCTAGTTAGTTGTGTGATTTTTTTTTTTTGATAACTCTGTAAACCAGCTTAGATCATTACATTTCAAAAAGTCAGAATGTACTAAAAATGTAATAGACTTTAAAATATTTATTGAACATTCTTCCATGACTGAGAACACATTTCAGGATCTTGCAGATTTTCATAGTCGTTATTTTGAAAGGAGTTCTCATAATATAGTGCCTAGATAATAGAACATAATGAAAACTGGGTTGTATCTGTACTGAATTTATGACACATCCTTTACATACTTATTTGTACTTGTAAGTATAAAAGGTAGAAAATAAATTCTACTTTCTATTTCAGGGAATTGAACTTTATGTGACAATGAAGGATAAAGCATCACATCCAGAAAAAAAAAAGTATAGTAAAACTGCATTTATTTAGAATTTTCAGCAATTCAGATCAAGAAGTCATGATTGCAAAGAACAAATTTCAAAATAATATCTTCTATTGTGAATTAGATACTATTCATAAATAAAGATTTGTGCAACCAAAAATGAATAACTTTTTCAAACAAAGAACTCAAGGAATTATATCTAGCTGTGGCCTACTTAGCATTTATTCATAATTATTTTCAAATCCGTAAATCTAGTAATTAATTCTTATGTTATCTAAAATGTTTTATAGACAAGTTATATTATTATTAATATAACCCTATTTACAAATAGTAATGGTATCATTAACTTTTACTTATTTAGTGCCTGTTTGTTCTTAGTTTATAGTTGTTAGTTCTCTTTATAATATAGCTCATACTTGGAAGTAATAAAATCAAATTCTTTGTAAGTATTTATAGTACAGACCTTCTAAGTCAAACTGCAAACCTTTCCCAATATTTCTAATAAAGTCTTCTTATGCTTGCACTTTTCTTTAACCTCTACAGCAGTATGTACTATATAACTTTTTTTTTTTTTGAGTTGGAGTTCTTACCCTTTTGCCCAGACTGGAGTGCAGTGGCACGCTCAGGACCACCACAGCCTCGACCAGCTGGGCTTAGGTGATCCTTCAACCTCAACCTTCCAGGTAGCTGAAGCCACAGGCATGCACCACCATGCCCAGCTGATTTTTTGATTTATTGTAGAGCTGAGGTCTTGCCAAGTTGCCCAGGCTGGTCTTGAACCTGTGGGCTCAGGCAGTCCTCTCACCTCAGCCTTCCAAAGTACTGGGATTATAGGTGTGAGCCACCATGCCTGGCCTATACTTTCTAGAAAATTTAATCCTGGATGTTTGTGCCACAATTTCTAATTAATCAAAATCTTGTTAACTTCTATGCAGGCCCTAATTTTACAAACTGTGGAAAGTTTAGATACTTAAAGAGTTTAAATAGATGTTCTGATATGGAGTTTTCTTAGCATCTGTAGTCACAGTCAAAAGAGATCACTAAATAAATAAGTCCTCTTCTTGAATATCAGTCTCTCTAGGGGGATCTTTTTTCATTAACATATCTATATTTGACTCTTGTTGAAACTAAATATTAATAACAGGTAGAAAAAGGCAGACAGAATATGCATTTTAAGATTGTTAATGTTCTTTTTAAGATATTTCTTAAGGTTCTTGTTTTTGGTTTGGGGGTTTTTTTGTTTGTTTGTTTTTTTAATCGGTCTCACTCTGTCTCCCAGGCTGGAGTGCAATGGCACATTCACAGCCACTGCAGCCTCGACCTGCTGTGCTCAGATAATCCTTCCACCTCAGCCTTCCAAGTAGCTGGAACTACAGGCATACGCCACCACGTACAACTAATTTTCTTTTTATTTATTGTAAAGACAAGGCCTCACCATATTGCCCAGGCTGGTCTCGAATCCATGGGCTCAGGTAATCCTCTCACCTCAGCCTCCCAAAGTGCTGGGATTACTGGGATTACTGGGCGTGAGCTACTAGCACTGGCCTAAGATCTTTCTTAAAGTTCTTAAGGTCTCTTTTTAATCTCTTTCTTGATCTAAAGTGAGATTGAATTTTACAAGTCTTTTGCCACATCTTCTCCTTAGGGATACAAATTTGTGCTTTCAAAAGCTCCAGCCCCCAGTAAGAAGCACTATCCAATCATTTGCAGACATCCTCTAAGCCAAATTTCATAAAAAATAACTCCATTCCACTGTCATATGCCAAGTTTAAAGTACTGAATTAAGGTACCCTGTAGTCAAAACAATCAAGCCCTGGTCCAGACTGCTCTAGGACAAGAGCCCATTGCACTGTTCCTTTTGCACTGCCCATGAATTCAGTGATAGCTTTCTCTTTTGCTAGTTGACAGATAGTTAATGACTCCTTGGCAAAAAGTAACCAGATTGCTGTAATAAGCCAACCAAAATAAAAATTCCTTGACATTGGCATGAAGCATTGTAACAGAATAGTAGTAATGTTTTTACTGTGCTATTGTGGTTTTCTGTAAAGAGACCTAAGACTCATTATATTTTTTAAATTTACAGCTCTTTAACTGTATCCAAGATTTCACTGCTGGAAATGCAGTTAGGCTTGAAGCTTTATTAGAGATCCACGATCCAATCTATACAAACACTTCCTTTAGCTTCTAGTTTCTTTTCAGTCATTTGTGCTGTCCAAAAAGGTACCGCTACCATTTACAGTCATTCCAAAAAGAAGAATGTGAATTACCTAGGTGTAACTTTTACAAGACATTTACTGCAGTATGTGTGCTGAAAATTACAAAAAGTTTCTTTGCAGATGATTTTATACCTAGTTCCCAAGTGCTCATGTACAGAATATGAAGAGTATGTCCTGTCTCTCTCTTCGAATGATGAGTGGTAAAAGAGCCTCACTTTACTGGGTGAGCTTATACTGAATGCTACAAGGGAAAATCAGTCTGCCTTTCTTTGGCTCTAATTGCAGAAAGTGAAGTCACTGCTTTTGCTGTCTTGGATCAAGACCAGAAAGAAATTGTTGACACCAATGGAGCTGGAGATGCATTTGTTGGAGGTACAGAATAATTTGTTTCATTCTTACTTAGAAGTTAAATATTTTACCCTTTGTCTCTACCTCATAGCCATGATTTATTAATTTAATTACTTTTAATTTCTTCTAAATAACTTCTAATGTTCTTTCTACATGCTACTGTCACTATGAGTATTTTAAGTGGATTTTACTGCTAAAAAATTATGTATTTGGCAAAGGTAATTTGCTATTATGCTATATACCAGTCACTTTTACAAGATTAATTGTATCGATCAGAAAATTGCATAAACAAGCTGTATCAATTACAGTATATAGTATATTCATAGCCCTTTAGATTTAAATGTTAACACAATTTTTTTCTTTAAAACAAGTATGGTGAATATTAAACAGTATGTTAATAATTAAAGATCATGCCTTTGGACTATATCCTTTGGTTAAAACAAATGTTTCAACACAGTAGTGGGTTTGTATCACACTAGGAAGGGTTACATTTTTGCCTAATTTAATCTCAGTAAGAACTGGCAAATTTTATAAAGACTGATCATTTTAGGAATGAGTAGTCAAAAATAAGATCAAAACAATTGAAAGATTTTTGGCTTGATGACTTAGATCGATCCTAAAATGTGATTCAAAAGATCTTTTGCAAAACCTAAACTCCTTCTTATTAAGTGTAGTTAATTAAGCTAGGTTATGATCTCTAGAAAGCTTTAGGTTCCTGAAAGATGGCCCCAAGAGATCTCTTCCTGATCGCTGTTACTTTCTCATAACATCAAGCAAGATAAGATTAAAAAATAAAAAGGCAAATGAATCTGACCGTTGTCCCCTTTCCCTGGAAGATAATGTGAATCATGGGAAACTTATTTGTATGATAGTTTTAACTTAATATCGTTTGTAAACAATTCTTTTATTTTAATGGTCTTCTTTACCAACATAAATTTTCATTTTTCTTTCTCTGAAACTATTTATGCCAAATCTTAAATGAACTATTAACAGTTAGGATGCCCCGTACCATATATTCTTTGGAAAGAGTACATACCACAAACAACTTTATCATCATGCTTGCATTTTTCATTTCCATACACTGAAAGCCTTTTTTTTTTTTTTTTTTTTTTGAGTTGGAGTCTCACTCTGTCGCCCAGACTGGAGTGCAGTGGCCGCTCCCGGCCACTGCAGCCTCGACCTGCTGGGCTCCGCTGATCCTTCCACCTCAGCCTTCTGAGTAGCCGGAATTACAGGCCTGTGCTACCACGCTCGGCTGGTTTTTTTATTTATTGTAGAGATGAGGTCTCGCTGCCCGGGCAGGTCTCGAACCTGCGGGCTCAGGCAATTCACTCACCTCAGCCTCCCAAAGGCGCGGGATTACAGGCTGAGCCACCAAGCCCAGCAGCCTTTATTATTAATATTAGAGTACTTTACAGCTAAGTTTCCTCTTCCATACTCTTCAGAGCTATAAATCTGTATAGGCTAGAAGTATCTTATTTTGAATTAAGCCATATTCTGTAATACATTAAGAAAACTCTAGTAATCTCTCTTAGAAATTGGTTAAACCAGGTATCTTAGTCCTGAAACTTAAACTTATACCTTGTATGTGTATTACTTAAGTACTTTAAAAATCTTTATAACAGTAAGTATTCTGTTTCTTTGACATTTAATAAGACAGATAATGAGAACATCATAGATATGTTGGTGGCCTAATTAGTTACGACTTCTGGCCCTGGAGTCTGGGTTTCCTGGCCCTGCAACAATAGATTTCCTTACAGATACCTGTAATGCTATCGGCACTAGGTAAGAACATACAGACTTTTTGAGGGGAGAAGGGGCCATTCTTAGAAATTCTGACGTACGAACAGCTAGCTACCATTTGTATTGTGGTCAGAGTAATAAATAAACTATTTTATCAAAAGCAGTTGGGATTTTTGTTAGAAGATTTTCAGCTTCTTTTTAATCCCACTTTGTTCACCTAGCCTCATTTTATATATTGTTGGGGTATAGTTAGGTAAATATAAATGAAAGAGAGCATAGAACAGGGGTCCACAAACTTTTTTTTCTTTTTGTAAACAGCCAGATAGTAAATATTTTCGGCTTTGCAACCTTCATAGGGGCTGTATTGCATATTCTTCGTGTTTTGTTTGTTTGGTTACTTATTTTTTACAACACTTTAAAAATGGGAAAACCTTTCTTAGTTCTCCCACTGTACAAAAACAGAACTCAGACCAAATTTGGTCCACAGGCTATAGTTTGCTGACCCCTTGTATAAGTATAGACAACTCACTTTATTCATTTCTAGCATATTAAGGCTCCAAACACTAGATTTCACTATATACTGTTGAAATCAGAATAGAGAAAGTAGAAGGCAGGTGGAAATTAGGCAAAACTTCACTGGTAATATCTTAATTAACCATTTTTCTCACTTTAAATTTACTCAGTTCCAGGATAATCACATCACCAAACACTGGGTCATGCAATGAGATGAACATCTTTTTTTTTTTTTTTGAGTTGGAATCTCACTCTGTTGCCCACACTGGAGTGCCGTGGCACACTCACAGCCACTCCAGCATTGACTAGCTGGGCTCTGGCAATCCTTTCGCCTCAGCCTTCCAAGCAGCCAAAACTACAGATGCGTGCTACCACGCCTGGCTAATTTTTATCTGTTGCGGAGATGAGGTCTTGCCAAGTTGCCCAGGCTGGTCTCAAACCTGCGGGCTCAGGCAATCCACTCGCCTCGGCCTCTCAAAGTACTACGATTACAGTCATGAGCCTGGTCGAGATGAACATCTTAATGTCAGTTTATCCACGGAATACTGCATTGGCATATTCAGTACATTGTATCCGTGTGAGTCAAACTACAAAATAACAACAGATAACCTTTATACAGCATCTTTTAGCCAATCAATATTTTAAGCACTTTTCACATATTAACTAATGTAATGTTCACAAAAGCTTTTTGAGGTAGATTATTTGTAACCCTATTTTACTTAGGCAAAGAGAGGTAAGGTAATATGCTCATAGTCTTATGGCTAAAGAGTCGTAGAACCGGGATTCAAAGCTAGAGAGTCTGGTTCCAGAGTCAATACTCTTACAGCACTATATTGTTTCTCTAAACATTTAGGGAAATCTCATCATTAGAACTGAAAACCACAGACCAGCCTTCCTCACAAAAGCTGCTTTTGTCACCTATTATCTGAATAGGTGACTTCGTTTATTGAAGAGAGGCTTTTGTAATCTGATAGGGTTCTGATGGCTTTAAGGTAAGATTATTGCAGAAAGGAAAGAGAAACTGAAAAGAAAGAGAGTTGAAGAACTGTAGTCCCTAGAGAGTTTGAACCAAGAGCTTTTTGCTAAGCAGTAGAATTGATTGCACTACAGAGATACAGATAGCCAGATCATAAACTTGCCTGGTTAGCATGGAATCCAAATAAGGAGAGTTACAGGAATCAACTGTTTAACAGCACCAGACTAAGTTACCTGATGGATTCATCTTACAATAGAAGCGGTGGCCTTTTTTTTTTTTTTTTTTTTTTTTTTTTTTGAGACAAGCTCTTACTCTGTCACCCAGGCTGGAGTGCAGTGGCACAATCATAAGCTCACTACAACTTCAAACTCCCATCTCAGCTTCCTAAGTAGCTGTAACTACAGGCATGTGCCACCACTCCTGGCTAATTTTTTTTTTTTTTTAAATAGAGACAGGATCACTATGTCACTATGTTGCCCAGACTGATCTTGAACTTCTGGGTTCAAACGATTCTCCCATCTCAGCCTCCCAAAGTGCTGGGATTAAAGGTATGTGCCTCCACATCTGATAAGATGGTCTTGTTAGTTAGAAATACTAAAAATCCATTGGTTGAAAACCTCTGCTCTCATCTCCCCAACAGCAAGAGCCTTTTTACTGGGATTAGAATAACTGCAGCTATTCAAGACTTTCTCTACCTTAAACATGAATTTCCAAGAGGCAGTGGCAACTTGTACATTTACTATGTAGTTGCTTTTTCCTTGCTTTGTTGTCTGATTAACATATCTTCTTTCTGATTGACACTTTCTATCTTTGGATAGTTAATATATTCATCCTGTTACTTTCACATTTTGCTGGCCTAAGAGTATTTCTGTCTTTTGTGACTTTGCATATCTATATTTGTGGTAATTTAATTCTCTGAAGGACAATAATTTTCTTTCTACAAATTTTAAGTTTTTGGACAAAGCATCACTCCAGCTACCATGTGCTAATTACCAGAGTGTCATGTGTTCCTTTTAGCCAGTTAAAAGATATATAACTACATCATGAATTTTCATGTATAATTCAAAAGTGAGTACCCCAAATGTACATAAATTAAATTCATAGTTCCATCTCAAGGATTTAGTGACAGTGACAAATCCCTCTAGCCTCTACAAGCATGCCTCCTTGTTCTGTGTGGAGGTCTTAAGCGCTCTGTAACATTTGCTCTTTATTTGTCGCTGGCCAGCCCTGATGGAACTAATCTTTTCACATTCTTCTTCAAAAGCCCAAGTGCTAGGATTGTACCCTTGGAAATGGAGACAATTCTATAATCTCTGAGTATGATTTCCTAATTTCCCAGGTCAGGAGAAAATTTCTTCCTGTTGTCCTGCTGTGCTTTGTCACAGCAGGTCTGCCTTTTCATTTGGAACCCTCTTTGTCACTGCCATAGTAACAAATGGAAACATTGAGAACATTTTGTGACAGGCACTGTCATTGTTCCCGGTGAAATCTCTTCCCCTGTGTCTTCCCAGTAAATGAAACTGAGAAGAAAAATCATAACAAATAACATGAAAGAGGACCTAATCAATATGTTCCCACTGGGCTGTCAATACCAGCCTGTGTTAATCTAATATGATTTAGTCATGTTTTATGGCAGTTGTAGGAATATGGACAGGCCCTACAAATCATCTGTAGACTGAAAATGAGTACACCTTTGACAGATTATGTCTTGGCACTATATACAACTCTCAGATAAAAGACTATAGACCTCCCTCAAGGACCAATGTTCTCAGGATTTTTTTTTTTTTTAAAC